TTAAACAGTATGATATATTACAATGAGTGTGCTTTTGTAATTTGTTTATAAGCTCTATATAGTTTTGTAACCCATCAAATAGTATAAGAAATTTAATCTACCCCTTTACCATCTCTGTGAAATTATCTCCCTTCACCTTATATATACAAAATTTTAAGAAAATTTTTTGCCAAAACACAAAAACAGTTTTGTCAATTCTTTTTTTTTGTAAATTTATATTACATCAGATTTTGTATTTGATTGGTAGACAAAGAGTGATATGCCAGATTTGTACAAACATGAATGGTATTTATGCATAAACTGTGGGATAAATTAAAGATCTCGTATTTTAAAATTAGTTCAATATAACAATTAAATATAAAACAACATACAGATATACGTATGTAGGTACATGCAAGGTGTCAAAATTCTCTGAAATTTGGCATTTAAGACTGTATAAGGTTAATTAATTGTATCCCAATTTATGAACTTTATAGTAACTGCTTGTTCGAAAAAAGCTATTCTAGCAAGGTTATGAAAAACAACCTATTAACTTTATATGATATAATCCAAAGTGTTCTAAATTTTTAACTCTAGACTTCCAAACATCGTAATACTCAAATTCTGATCTCAGATTTCTGAAATTTGAATTAGCCATTTTTAGGATTTATAAGATGCAATTTTAGAATATGCAGTTGGTCAAATTGATTGTAAAAAATTCTTGCATAGATAATGAACAGACATGTAATACAAATATAGTTGGGCTATAATTTCATACAATATCTTGAAAATAATCAAACTAAAATATTTATAAAATTTATTCATTTCTAAATATGTTTAGCAATTTATATCCATGTCTCTAATATATACATGTTATATCACTTATCACTCACAACCCTGATAATTTTATAAAAAGTACTATATAATGCACAGAATCAATATTTTAATAAAAAAAAATATTATTGATAACTATGCAATAACCTATGATAAAAGGATAAATTTGATTTTTTTTTTTGTATCTTTAAATGCTGAAATCATACTTTATATTGAATGCTCAATAAATCATAAACCAAAAGGTAGTAAAATCGATTCATTTAAAAATAAAAAAATAAAAACTTATTTCATTTATTACTTATTTTAACTATCGATCGAATATTTGTTGCACAATCATGACTAAAAGATATATTCATGACTTAATGCGTTATGATAAAATTATAAGAATTCAATAAAGTTAAATGAACAAATATATTGTTTAAAAATATCATTTATCATTGTATTTTATATCAGTATTTCCAAAGAGATTAAAATTACACCTTAATATAAGTCTTATATATTTTTCGCTCGAAACTTTAAAATGAATAGCCAATCATGACCGCTCTTACCTAATATACCTTTAAATCAAATAAATAACAATAGTGAGTATCTTAATAGCAGACATGAAAAAGATAAGCAAAGAAAATATGAAAAACGCGTTCTAGAATCAGATGAACAGAAAGACAAAAGGAAGCAACAGAATGCATCAAATATGCACAAAAAATACGCTTTAGAAACTGCAGAAGAATATCTTAGTCAATGCCAAAAAAGTTCTGCTCAAAAAAAACAGACAAGGTTAGATCAGTGTAATCAAACCGAATCTATCAACATAGAACAACTTTCTGCAGTTGATTGAAAGCTTCTATATAACTTTTGAAATACAATAAGAAAGCTTTGTAACAATCTTTGTAGCATATGTAATGAGCGATTTCCGTCTATTGAAATTTTTAAAGGAAAATGTAGGTGTTGTTATCGAGATAAGAATACACTAAAAAAGTTTTCTGCAAATAACAACATGAACCCGGCTAAATAAATAAAATTATTAAAGTTTTTTAAAGGTACGGTGAAATCTCTCTAAATGCATCCTCTATAAGTGTACACCCTCTCTAGATACACACTCAAATTCTAGCCAAATATACATGCCCACCTTTTCTTATTATTCTCTAAGTGCACATTAAAGTCTGGTCCCAAGGGTATGCACTTAGGAAGTTTCACTGTATTGTAATTATATATATATATATATTATCTTTTTTTATTTTTTTATTTTTATTTTATTTTTATTTTTTTTTATTTTATTTTATTTTTATTTTTTATTTTTTTTTTAGTTTTTTATTTTTTATTTTATTTTTTTTATTTTTTATTTTTTTATTTTTTTATTTTTTATTTTATTTTGCTTTTTTTTTTAGACGAAATACCTCAGAAGCTTAAAGACCTTATCGAAATTGAAGAAATGCTTATCGCTTAAGTATTCACAGTTATATCGGTTTATAACTTCTGTAGAGGCCAATATGCATATTGTGGGAATATTATCAACTTTCCACAAGATGTTCGAGAATTCACGACTTATTTTCTGTGTTCACCATCTTCATTGGATATGCTAGTCATATGACAGCATTCTGGTGATAGATCAACCTTTCAAGATTTCATTATATGCAGAGAAAAAATTACTCAAGCTTTCAATTGGTTAAAAACAAACAACATCTTTTATTATGATATTAAGATTGCCGAAGATATATTATAGTCTTTACCTTAAAATGGCTTAATAATTGACCAGCTTTCACAAATCTCCGACAATCGATTTATTTACAAAAACAATAAATACTTGAATGTTATTGAAAGTAACAATGATAATGAAGATGGTGAAAGTAATGATTTGATTTTATGAACCTTTGTCTCTGTACTACCTTCTGGAAATAATAAGGATGATACCATTTGTAATACTCTAAATCGTCTACAAAATGATAATCCACATGGCAATGATTTGTCAATTGACTGGCCCAATATTGATAGCATACCTATTGACGAATTTCACATAGTAGGATATATGGTACGGGCATTTTCTATACTTTTTTCTCGAAGTGCTGCTGATTTACACACCCAACAGGTAAAAGAAGTAAAACTAGCTGAATACTTTCAGCATTTTCTTAAGTATAAAGACGAACAATTTGCTTGCTACCCGCGCCAGCGTTATTTTGTATTAAATTTCTTAATATGATGGAGGGCATTGACAGAAAGATGTATCTATATCAAGCAGAACTTAGAAGTAGAACAACTCACTGTAACTAAAGTTCAGGAATTGGTGCAAAGTGATATCCATATAGCAGATAGAGTAGTGAGGTTTGGAGAGGGACTACACGGTACTCGTCAGTATTGGATACGATGTTGTGCTGAATTAACAGATATGATAAAGCAGTTAGGTTCTAATGGAATAGTATTTTTTACCTTCAGTATGGCAGATATGCATTGACCTAAACTTCATGACTTAATGCTACATGAAGAAAATATTACTGAAAAATCTATTCAGAAAGCTGCCAGGTGTTGACACCAAGATCTTATTGACAATCTCTATATTGCAGCATGGTTTTTTAAAAAGCAGTTTAAAGTTTTTTTGAAAAAGTATTAATACCAAAATAGGGATTAGTGGATTGGTAGTATCATTTTGAATAGCAGCATCATAGAAGTGTTTATGTTCATAGCATTGCAATTCAAAAAGAGGCACCTTTATATCAATAGAAAAATGCAAAAGAAAATCCAGAACAAATAGATGAAATAGTAGGTTATCTGAACTCATTAGTTACAACTGTAAACTCAGGACCTAATGTACAAATACCCAAACATTATCCATGTCAAAAAAGGTTTGAAGAAATTGATGATGGGTTACAAAACTATATAGAGCTTATAAACAAATTACAAAAGCACACTCATTGTAATATATCATACTGTTTAA